GAAATCAAGTTTGCAGGTGGAATTACAGTTGCTAATTAGCTGACCTTAAAATAGGGGGGTGTCCTGGCTTATCCAAGAGAGCCCATGTAACCATATATGCCCTTAAAAGTGGAAGAAGGAGGCAGAGGAGTCAGTGAGAGATTCAGCTGGAGAGGGAGGCAGAGGGGAAGAGTTAAAACATGAAGCATTCACCCGCTGTTACTGGCTTTGAAGATAGGAAGGTGGCAACAAGCCAAGGAACGTGGGCGGCTTCTAGATGTGATGGCCCTCAAGTGACAACCAGCGAGGAAGTGAGGACCTTAGTCCTACAACTGCAAGGAAGTGAATTGTGCCAACAAACAACCTGAATGAGCAAGAAAACAGATTCCCCCCACACCCCACCCCCCCGCCACAGAGCCTCCGGGAGCTCAGCCCTGCCGACCCCTTGCTGTTAGTCTGGTGAGCCCCGTGCCACATGGCTGACCTATAGAACTGAAGGATCATACATGCAGCATTGTTTTAAACATCTATTTTTGTGGAGTGTGCAAAGAGGAGGAGACAGAGGAGGAGAGGGAGAGATGGACGGGAACAGTGGAAAGAAGGCTGCCTTCCCAAGGAACAGTCTACTGAGAGCCATCAGCATGGGGCTCAGAGCTTCCCAGACATTTCTCCCCGGTCTTGCCTGTCCTCCTCAAAACTGTCTCCAGGCCCCTTGTTGCTCCAGTGCTGACCAAGCCCGCCGAGGATGTCCCCAGGGCCCTGCCTGTAGGTCCTTAGGCCAGACTAAGAAGCAACCCCCATGGAGGTCCCTCCCATTCTGAGAAATGTTGTGACACCTCCCCTCCCCCTTCCCCCATAGGGCTGGTGAGAACGGTCCTGGTGGAGAAGCCAAGCCAGCCAGAAACCACTACTGATGCCATGGCTGGATCACACCACCCCTGAGGCTGGGGCTGGGCTCTGGTTTCTCCCCAGAGCAGGTCTGCACATGCACACACACACACAGCATCCCAGTTGTTGGCCTGCTTTTTGCCACCCAAGTCTCCATAGCAAAGAGGACTTGTCCACTGATGGTTAGCACATATTGAACACTAAGCCATATCTTATTAGTGCTCATATTAGGCACTGTACTAAATGCTCTACTCACATGGTCTCATTTCCTCCCCTCTGCAATCCTATTAGGAGGAGATATTGACTCAGAGAGGTTAGGATATTTGTCTGATGTCATACAAAGTGTTAGTCACTCAGTCGTGTCCGACTCCTTGTGACCCCGTGGGCTGCCCATGGGGATTCTCCAGGCAAGAATACTGGAGTGAGTTGCCGTGCCCTTCTCTAGGGGATCTTCCCCAAGCCAGGGATCAAACCCGGGTCTCCTGCACTGCAGGCAGATGCTTTACTGTCTGAGCTACCAGGGCTTCCCAGGTGGCTCAGTGGGTAAAAATCCTGCCTGCAGTGCGGGAGATGCCGGAGATATAGGTTCGATTCCTGGGTCGGAAAGATCCCCTGGAGAAGGGCACGGCAACTCACTCCAGTATTTTTGCCTGGAGAATGCCATGGACAGAGGAGCCTGGCAGGCTACAGCCCATAGGTCGCAAAGAGTTGGACACGATGGAGTGACTGAGCGCAGCAGATGTCACACAGCTAGCTGGTAAATCCAGAATTGGACTCCAGGAGTCTCTGAATCCAAAGCACAGTCTTAGACCCTCACGCTTCCAGGCGGGAGGGGGGTCCATGGACCAGCAGCATCAGCATCACCTGAGATCATAATAGAGAGGCTGACCCCAGACCTGCCAAGTCAGAGGCTGCATGTTAACATGTTCCCCTGTTAACAAGTTAACATGAGTCACGTGCCCACTGCAGGCTGAGAAGCATGGGTGTGAAGCACTGTTTTCCAGGCCTGCTTGTCCTAGGTTGTCATAACCACCTCCTCCCCCCAGTCTCCTGAGGCTCCTTCCCAGCTGCCTGGCTCCTGCTCCCCAGGTGGGGCAGGCTCTCTGCCCAGCCTGGGGAAGAAGTCTGAACCTGGATCTCGGAGCGAGTCTCGGGCCTCTGTAGCCAGCCCGGGCCGCAGCTGGACAACATCAGTCCGCGTCTGGCTCTTGCAGGGCATGCTGCCTGCTGCCCGAGGCTCTCCTGTGTCCCCCCTCACCACCGTCCCCCTCGCATCTTCCTTCTGAGACATAAGCCTCTTGGCCTCTGTCTAGTGCCCTCCTGAAGGTGGCCTCTGGCAGACACCAGCCCCTGCAGTGTCTCCTCTCCCTGCTCATTTTGCACCCCTCCCTCCTACAGTGCCCACCGCATTTATGTCCCTCCCTTATCTGGACACCAAGGGCCTGTCCAATTTGCCATCAGGAGAGAGGCCAGAGGCTGCTTGGGAAAGCTGGCCAGGCTCACAGGAAATGTCTGACACCACCAGGCAAGCGGGACTTGGCCTCCCAAAGCAAAACACAGCTGGGCCGACAGCGGGCCGCTCGGACTTTCCCAGATTTCATGGCATTGAGGCGCCAGGGCAGAGAGAGAGGGAGAGGGAGAGAGAGAGACCGTGCTGGCCTGGAGGCTGTAGCTCATTAAAAACATCACGGTAGCCCCTGGCCAGGGAGCCTGTGAAGCTCAGAAAGGACAGCCCTGCTGTGGGGCCGGAGACCTCACCCCGGGCCTTCAGCCTCCACTGCCTCCCGCTCGCGGGGGACCCTCGCCGGGGACCAAAGCCTCACAGAGTTTGTCCTCCTCCCCTCCCGGCCTCCTCCTCGCCCCAGCATCGCGCCTCATCCATGTTCTCGTTCAGCTTGTGCTGACTACAGAGCGCCGGGGGCGATGTGAGGCATCACGGACATGTCCAGGAAAGAGGAGGACACAGTGGTCCCTGCCCGCAGGGAGCTCCTGGTCCACGGAGCAAATGAACAGACCATCCCGAGGCCAAGTAAGAAGTGCGGCACCCGGAGGCATGGCCCCCTCCTCACGGCAGCGGGGGCAGGGATGCCCTTGGTTCCCGGGCAAGGTGAGGGCTCAGGGCCAAGTGGGCCCTTTGCGAGGTCACTCTTAAGTTGGGACCAAGTGACAGAAAGCAGATGGAGCGATTTCTGCAAGGCGGCGTTGTGGGGACCTCCGGCCTGAGACAGGCGCTGACTTCCAGGACGCAGGCCGCACAGGCTGATCGCAGACACAGGGCACAGGCTCCAGGGACGTGGGCCAAGCACGTGCTGCAGGAGGTCAGAGCTGGGCGGACACGACAGAGGGGGTGCTTTCTGGAGGAAGCGGGACTGGGCTCTGAAAAAGAGGAGCTGGAGAGGCTGGGAAGACGGGGCAGGGGATGTCAAACAGTTCCGACTCAAGGGTCCAAGGGGACAGAATGACCTGCCAAGCAAGCACCAACACAAGGGGATAAAACGCACTATAAAATGAACAAATCCCACAAGCCAAAAAAAGCTTCGGGGAGAGGGGCAGGGGGAAGCCCGGCTAGAAGGATTCTGCTTCCACCCTGCTTCCAGGACCGGCCCTGGAACTGCCACCCCTGGGGCTCCTCCAAGTGCCTTTGCACCAGGCCCGCCCACCTTGGACCCAGAGCTGGGGCCCATTAGAACAAGGCTCAGGCCCTGCCCTGCTGGTCACAGCCAATCCCAGGCGATTCGCCGTGCCTGCTGCCTTGTCCACCTGGCTCTTAGCTCTGCCTCTCTCTCTGCCCTGGCATCCCAAGGCCTTGGCCAAAGAGTTTGGCTCTTCTGGTTTTGACTGTGGTGCTCCCTAGGCCTTGACCCAAGTTCACCCTTCTGCTTTTTTCTGCGCCTGGCTGCCCTCGAAAACCACCTGCTGACTTGGGTGGCAAAACACCCTTACTAAGACCCTGGTCTGCCCCTGCTCCCCCTCTTCAGAGTGGCTGGACAACTTCAAGCTCCTTTCCTTTCTCTCCTGAGCTTTCCCACTGGGGGCCTGGCCTCGAGGTCAGCCTCCTCCCGCTGGTTCTGCCAGCCTCCTCCAGGAGGGCAAATTCTTTTTTCCCCTGAATTCAGCAAGACAAGGTTCAAACATTTCAGAAAGAACTTCTTAAGTAAGAAGCAAATGGAAAAACTAACCTGAAAAACCAAAAAGAAAACACAGCCCCCAGAAATGGACCAGTTTACCAAAGTTCAGACTTCCTGTCCTGAGCTAGGAAATGTCTGGCCAGGTTGGCTGGCAAGTAGGCCAGGGACTTCTGCCCGAGAAAAACCCCCTTCCCACTTCTTAGCCTTCTGCCTTCCCCTACATGTTCCTGCAGGCTGCTCCAAGGAGAGAGGCTGCTAGCACTGGTGGTAAGAGAGCTGAAGTGGCTTTTTTAAAACTTTTTCTTTTTTATTATTTTTTTTGGCGGCACAGCATATGGCATCTTAGTTCCCCGACCAGGGATCGAACTTGTGGCCCCCTGCAGTCAAGCAGAGTCTTAACCACTGGACCACCAGGGAAGTCCTGGAAGGTTTTTGTTTTTTTTTTTTTTCTGGCAGAGGAGTCCTCCTCGCATGCCCCAGACCACAGGTAGAAAAGAAGGAAGTGGAGGAGAAACATTTATAGAGTTTACTCTGTGCCAGGCACCCTTCTAAACACTTTCTTCTTATTAACGAACCTAATCCTTACAATTCCATGGTTATCATCATCATCGCTGTCCCCACCTTACTGATGAGGAATCAGAGAGGTAAGTAACTTGCCCAAGGTCACCCACCTAGGAAGTGGCAACCAGGATTTGAAAGCACAGAGCCTGAGTCCAGGTACATGCTCTCCTCATCTTTCTCCCAGGACCTGGAGGGTAGGCGCTCACCTCCCACCTCCACCGTGCAGTCCAGTCTGCTAGAGCCTGTGCCAACCCCGAAACCTGCTGCCCTGCTCACCACCCCTCTGGCGGGGCTGGGGAAGGGGAGGAGAGGACGGGGCGGGCCAGAGGGACTCTCCAGCCTCCTCCACCAAGGTCTTCACCAAACAGGCCGAAGGCAGAACCCGCCCCAGAAAGGCTGCGCAACCCCCCAGGAAGAGAGGGCCCACTGAGGAAAGGGACTTACCTGGCCCGCTGCGGCTGTGGTGCTGGGGGCCGAGCTCTGGCCGTGGTGCTTTCTCTGGCCACACTGCTCCTGCGCAGGTTGGGGGGTCCCTCGGCCGAGCGTCGGGGTGCTGGCCTGGAGTTCTGGGGGTCGAATTCCTCCTCGGGAATGACCTCTTCGCAGCGGGCTCCGCGGAAGCCTGAGCGGCACACGCAGAGCTGGGGCCGGCTGCAGGAGCCCCGGTTCTGGCAGGGTGGCTGGCACACGGCTGCGGAGACAGGGAGAGGGTGAGGGCTGCCTGGGCATGTCTGGACCACCCCTCAAAGACTGCGTGACCGGCCGCACCCCCGACACCGTGTTCTACACCCGCTTAGCGCTCCCTGTGCGTGGTCTGTCCAGCTGGGGACTGGCCTGTGGGCGTGTCTCTCGGCTTCTGTGTGTGCTGTGTCCCCCCTATGGGGCTCTCTCCCGTTCCTCTCCACTAGGTCCTCCTGTTCCTTCAAGGCCCCCCTGCCCCCCAGCCCAGATGACCTGCCTCCAGGTTCTGCTCCCTCCTCTGAACCACGGTCGCAGCACTTATGCCCGACGGGCCGCCGCCACTCTGTCCATCTGGGCTGGTGCTCAGCTGTCCAGCTCTTTGCGACCCTCTGGGCAGTAGCCTGTCAGGGTTGTCATTTACTCCTCTAGGGAATCTTCCCAACCCAGGGATCGAGCCCACATCTCCTGTGTCTCCTGCATTGCAGGCGAATTCTTTACCCACTGAACCATCAGGAAAGCCCCATCACCATCAGTGTGATAGATTTTTTATGTATGTGTCTCAACTCTCTAACTAATACAGTCAGCACCCCCAGGTGCAGTGACTCTCCCTTACACCTCTTTGCCTCCTTAACTCCTAGCATATGCTTCATAACAACACAATTGATATTATTTTTATTACAGCATGTGTGCATGCTCAGTCGCTTCAGTCATGTCTGACTCTGTGACCCCATGGACTGTAGTCCACCATGCTCTTCTGTCCATGGGATTCTCCAGGCAAGAGTGGGTTGCCATGCCCTCCTCCAGGGGATCTCCCCAGGCCAGGGATTAAACCCGTAATTCCTGCATCTCCTGCATTGCAGGCAGATTCTTTACCCTCTGATCCACCCGGGAAGCTCTTTAATTATGGCAGCTACTATCAATCTATTCAATGCTTACAACATGCCAGGCACTGTACTTCACATACACTGTCTCATTTAAGCCTAAAACAATCCTATACAGCAAGTGGGATTGTGACTTTCATTTCACAAATAATGCTTCTGATGCTCAGATAGATTAAAAGACATGCAGAGGTCACCCAGCCAGTCCATGGTGGATGGAGGATCCAATCCAGGTGCGTTTGACTAAAAAGCCCAGGCTCCATCCACCCCCACTGTCTCCCAGCAGGGCTGACCCACCCTCTGAACCTTGGCCCAGAGCTGATGATGAAACAACAAAAGGGATCTGTTGGCTTTAAGTCAGCCACTGACTGCAACCTTGGGAGCCCTGCCCCGGGATGCTGTGCATCCCAGGTCAGCTCTGGTGGTGGAGACCTCAGACCTTCAGACCCATCCCTCTCCAAAGCCCACACAGTCAATCTGAGATCGAGGGAGGATGTATACCAGCTCATGCATTCATTCAGTGAACACTCACTAGGTATGAGGCCAGTGGTAAAGAGCCTCCCACTCGCAGGGAGTGTCCTGTCTCACCAGGAAGCCAGGACATAGGGCATGTGATAAGTGTTGACCAGAGCCTCTAACCGAGTCTGAGGCAAGAAGTGAAAGTCAGGAAAGACTTCCTGGAGGTGACGATGCTGACCAGAGACAGAATGGGTGAATAGATTGGGCATAGTGTAAACCAAGGGCAGCCTACCTACTCTGGGGCAAGTAAGGAAAAAATAGGTCTCACTGTAGGACCCCAACCATGAGCTAGATCCTAAGGCAAGAGCATTTTCCTCAATCCATTCTTGGTAGGCCCCAGACCTCCAGGTAAGCAGTCTGTACGAGAGAATTATAACCCTGAGCACTTCCCCAAACACAAACTGCCACCTCAGCAGGATTTTGGCCTATCACCTGGCTGCCCCTCCCCCTGCCCAAGTGGAGCGAGCCCTCACCTGACCATTTGCCAAGCCCTTGTCACCACCACCACCAGAGACACGGGCTGCTTGGGGCCAAACCAGGACCAGAGAACATTGCAGAAGCAGGATTGCGCAGGACAGGTATCAGCCCTGGTTTATCTTGGGGATGGAGTAGAAAGGGAGGGCCTGAGTGGTTTCCCATGTGGACCACAGTTGCTACATCACTCCTAGCCCCTCAGATCCACCCACACCTCCCGCTGGCCAAGCCTGGCATGGGGGAGGGAAAGGTCACACAGCCCCCCCCAGTCTCCGTTTCCATTCCACCTCCGCGTGGCTGGTCTTTGCCCTTAAGAGAGCCTTACAAAACCAGTCCAGCTTCTGTCCTTCCCCTCCTGGGCTGCAAGGATGGCCCAGTCCTTGACTTTATCAATAAGATCTTTCACTCTCTAAAACGCCAGCACCCCACATCCTGCAGTGTGAGCCTGTGCTTCCCTGTGACTCGCCTGCCCTGGTTCTGCCTCGTTCACCAATACATCCGCAGACCTTTAGTGAGCACCCTCTCTGGGTCAGACCGGGTGCCAGGGATACAAAGACAACAAGACTGCTCCCTGCATGGAGGAAGCTCGGCCCGTGGTGGGCTCTCACAACCACGGAGGTCCCTTTCCACCAGGCAGTTAAGTCTTCAATGAGGACCAGGCTCGGCAAACTTTGGTTGGTGTGATGAACAAACAGCTCACGGTAAGTGGGTGGCTGGGGGAAACTATAAAACTGGCATATATGCATGCATGTAATATTGTGGTCGATAAAAGTTCTAAAAGGCTTCCAAACCAGCCAGACGTGTCAGGAGAAAAAACCCGTTTGGAAAGATAACCTTTACGGACCAGTCACTTCTGAAACAGCACAGAGGCCAGGTTGGCTAAGAAAGGTCCTCCTGAAAAAAGTGCTGGGTTTTCAGAGGCTGTGAACCAGCTCTCACCGACTTCATTTGCATCCTCCTCTGCTTGTCTTCACCAGTCTCAGCAGGTAGTGATTCCTCGCTACAGTGTTTTCTTTTGAGCTGAGCATCTGCACTATGGGACTGGAGCATAACCTCCTCTCCTCCCCTCCACTCTCCCCAAAACCACCCCCAACTGGCCCCAAATAGTGGCTCCAAGTGTCTGCCCATGAAGGGGGACAATCTTAGGTCAGTTTTTACCGGCCTACCATAAAACAAGAAAAACAAAACAGTTTTTTGGGTTTCTTATAACACTATTTTCTTCCCCATTGAAAAAGTTTCTTTCAGATGCAGAGGACAAACATATGGATACCAAGAGGGAAAGTGGGCGGTGGGATGAACCTGGAGATTGAAGTTGATGTATATACACTACTGATACTATGTATAAAATAACTAGTGAGAATCTGCAATACAGCACAATGCTCTGTGGTGACCTAAAAGGTAAGAAATACAAAAAAGAGGGGAGAGATGTGTCTGGATAGCTGATTCATTTGGCTGTACGGCAGAAGCTAACACAACACTGTAAAGTAGCTATCAGTTCAGTTCAGTTCAGTTCAGTTGCTCAGTCGTGTCCGACTCTTTGCGACCCCATGAATCGCAGCATGCCAGGCCTCCCTGTCCATCACCAGCTCCCAGAGTCTACTCAAACTCATGTCCATCGAGTCGGTGATGCCATCCAGCCATCTCATCCTCTGTCATCCCCTTTTCCTCCTGCTCCCAATCCCTCCCAGCATCAGGGTCTTTTCCAATGAGTCAACTCTTTGCATGAGGTGGCCAAAGTACTGGAGTTTCAGCTTCAGCATCAGTCCTTCCAGTGAACACCCAGGACTGATCTCCTTTAAGATGGACAGGTTGGATCTCCTTGCAGTCCAAGGGACTCTCAAGAGTCTTCTCCAACACCACAGTTCAAAAGCATCAATTTTTCAGTGCTCAGCTTTCTTCATAGTCCAACTCTCACATCCATACATGACCACTGGAAAAACCATAGCCTTGACTAGATGGACCTTTGTTGGCAAAGTAATGTCTCTACTTTTTAATATGCTGTCTAGGTTGGTCATAACTTTCCTTCCAAGCAGTAAGCATCTTTTAATTTCATGGCTGCAGTCACCATCTGCAGTGATTTTGGAGTCCAAAAAAATAAAGTCAGCCACTGTGTCCACTGTCTCCCCGTCTATTTCACATGAAGTGATGGGACCAGATGCCATGATCTTAGTTTTCTGAATGTTAAGCTTTGAGCCAATTTTTTCACTCTCCTCTTTCACTTTCATCAAGAGGCTTTTTAGTTCCTCTTCACTTTCTGCCAATAAGGGTGGTGTCATCAGCATATCTGAGGTTATTGATATTTCTCCCGGCAATCTTGATTCCAGCTTGTACTTCTTCCAGCCCAGCGTTTCTCATGATGTACTATGCATATAAGTTAAATAAGCAGGGTGACAATATACAGCCTTGACGGACTCCTTTTCCTATTTGGAACCAGTCTGTTGTTCCATGTCCAGTTCTAACTATTGCTTCCTGACCTGCATACAGGTTTCTCAAGAGGCTATACTCCAATACAAAAAAAAATTTTAAGTGTCTTTTATTTTAAGATTATATCGTGCCTCCTTTTCTGGTGTTAAAATGTTCTTTGAAGTGTTTAAAGGTGATGGCAAATGATGTTTCTAATATTCTCACTTGGCAAAATGAAAAGCTGGCTACTGTACTCTGGTACATAAGATGTTTTTGGATATTTACTAGTGAAATGCAAAAGTTTGGAACCCTTGGGGAAGGAGGGGGCCATAGTGGTCAAGTGCCTTTTGTTTAAAGGAGACTGTGAAAAGCATTCCTAAGTCAAACGAGCACAGATTTCAAAACTGAAGTATCTAGGGCTCAGTCATTGCAGAATTGCCCATGGCAGGGGCGATTGCATAAGGCAGAGAAGGAAATGCTGAGGCACCCCCAGAGAGGCAGTTTCATGCGGCATTGTGGGAAGTTTAAGAGATAAAATTCCCAGTGTGTCAGGCTAGGCTGTCTTCATGTTTCATGCCTGGATCCTCATTCCTCCCACTTTCCCACAAGAGCAGAGGTCATGCCTTATACTTGAGAAGTCAACCCAGAGAGGGTATATGGCTTTAACGAGTCTTTGTTGATCATTGGTGACGGGTTATCAAGCATGATGCCACGATGCCCATGTCTAGCCATCAAA